GGGAGAGGCCCATGATTCACAATTCTCAAATCAGCTTCATATCATAATATGCCAGCCAATTGATGTGGAACTGAATGAGGGCTTGGACAGCAGGGACAGACACACTCTATCTGTCAATATGATAAGAACAAGAGTAAGCATTTCTGAATGACTCTTGGAATTAGCAGGGCATTGCAACAAGAATTGGGTGTCCTGCTTTGCTTGAGTGGAAGTGATTCTCATTAATACAGAGCCATTGTTGGATATCCCACTATAATAATTTTCCCAGTTTTGAAACAAGCATTCTTGTCCTGTTACTCATAGAGGAAACACCTGTGTATGATTTGCAAACATGGAAAAAGTAATTATTCCTTGAGTTGAAAAATGTAAATATATTGATTGATTGTACTTTTATACCTCCAGACCCCATAATGACTCCCAGTGGATTACATCCTAAAACATAAAAACATTATCAAAAACATTAAATCACAATAAATTAATCAAGTGCTAATATAATACAAATATGTGCAGTGGTGTCAGCTGACTCCCCAAATGCCCTCTGGAACAGTTTGGTCTTCAATAGCTTCTAGAAGGCCACAATGAGTTTCCCAACCTAACTTCAAGAGGGAAGCCATTCCATAATGTGGGGACCACAACTGACTGTGAGCCCTTGACTCTTTTGCTGCTCAGGACTGGGGACATCAAAAGATATTGACAGGATATGCGCACTGGATTGTTTACACGGGCTGCTTCAACATGGAAAAGATTGTTCTGTAACTGCCTAGTTGCCAAGCTGGAGAAGGTTTTACAGGTTTAAACCTGAATATTGAACTCTATTGGGAACCTATTGGTTATCAGTGTACTAACCATGTTATGTGACCATGATGATTCTGATTTGCCAATTTATGAACTGTGGCATTTTGGAACAATTACAGTTTCCAAGCGGTTTTCAGAAACAGCTCCATGTAGAATGCTTTGCAATTATTCAGGTGAGTGGTGGTAAGTGCACGAGTCCCTGTGACTAGGGACTTCCTCTCCAGGTAGGGGTACACTTGATGCATCCTCTGAAATAGCCAGTGTTCCCCTGGCCATACTAGCTGAGAACCCATGTAAAGCAATCAGTCAAGCCAACAGAGATCCCTTTTGCACATACAGTAATTTTGTCTTGCTTGGGTTCAGCTTCAGCCTGCTTCATGAGCTCCAGACTCTCATCCAAGATGTGTACAGCACCTCCAGTTCAGCCTGGGCTGGAGATGTATAACTAAGTATCATCAGAATACTGATGAAATCTCATCCAGAACCAAGAGATGCCTTTCTCTAGCGATTTCATAGAGATGTTAAACAGCAGAGGGAAGAGAATTAAGCTCTCCAGGATGCCACAAGCAGACTGATACTGACTGGTATTACCTGCTCAGGAAGAAGTAGAACCTCTGAAGCACAATGGCCCCAGCTCCTAACTCACACAGGCAGTTCAGGAGGATACAAGGGCTGATGGTAACAAACACCACTGAGAGGTCAAAATCCCAGAAAGGGTTCACAGGTCCTGACAAAGGTCATTTATCAGATTAGCAATGTCATTTCTGACTCATGACTGGGGCTGAATTCAGACTGAAATCAGTTTACATAATCCATTTGTTTGAGGGTATTTTGTAGGTGACATCCCGCCACCTTCTCAGCAACCATCCCTAAAAATGATAGATCGCGAATTGGCAATAGTTATCCAAAATTACTAGGTTCAGGGGTAACTTCTTGAGGAGAACTACACCACTTCCTCCTTCAAGGCTGACAAAAACACCTCTCCCAATGGAGAATTGATTACTTCCTGGACCCAACTCATACTATCTTGAAAGGAGTCATGAAAGTCATGGATCAAGCCCAGAGGTGACCGAGGTCGTACTAATGAGCACCCTCTCCACTTCACCAGAGTCCACAAGACAAAAGGAGATGCAGCAGGCACTGCAAAGGGTTCTACCTATGAAAGTCAAGATTATAGCAAATCTGAGCAACTTTTGCAGCAAAATGTTCAATATCCCATGTATTTAATTAATTAATTGAGACCTACCATTGGTCTTAGCAAAAACATTGTGATTATTTAATTTGATCTTGAAGTGTAGAATGTCACTTAAGAAATTGATGTCAACTGCAGTGGAATGTAATCTTTATGGAGTTCTCAGTAATACTGTATCTTGATCATGACATACTGGTTTACGGTGCATGAATTTCTGTAGATTTAACATTTACTCTCTTATCTGGGAATGGGAGGGTCTTCAAAGATGATATCATCTTCTAACTTTAGTCTCACTGAAGTTGTGTGCTGCTATGAACTAAAGTTTCAGAGTATTTATTGGGTTTAATCTGATCCAGATTGCTAGAAGAAAATGCTAATGAGAATGAGCATAGAGAACTTTTACCTATTCATAAGAATTGGTTACATGATTGTTTCACATGATTTTTTTTTTCACTCTTTGCAGTGTGATCTCATTAATGGATTTTGGAACATTTTACAATGTGTAACTAGTTGTCTTTTAGATATATGTTCACACTTCTGTCAGTCTTTTATCACATTTGGTTTCAATTACAAATGGTGTGTGTTTTGTATTGGCTTTGCGGACTATTTGGAGACCATATGGTGCATTTGCAAGGAAATGGATTTGATTATTTAATTGTTTTTTCCACCTTTTGCTTAGTTTTAGACAAGTCTATGGAAGATCCCTTATAACGCGAAATGTGCAGAAGCCACTGTTTGCAAGGTGGATCAGACTATTGAGACAGGTTGACCTCCTTCACCTCTTTGTATAGATGCAGTGTATTGTGGAGTTCTTGGTGTTTGGTTGTTTGCTTGCAGACATTTCATTACCACTGATGATGTTACCTAGTTGGGTAATGAAACGTCTGCAAGCAGACAACCAAGCTCAGAGGGCACCAAGAACTCCACAGTTCAACCTTGAGATACAGATAATCTCTTCTATTGAAGCAATGTATCTCTGATCATCTTTGCTATGTCAAGGTGCTGTGACATAACACCTCAAGATAAAGTACCTGACTCTGGCAGGTTAGTAAAATTGCATGCTGTTAGTAATTACTAGAGATCAGTATTAATTTGTAAAGAGCAAGTCTTGCCAAACTAATCTTAATTTTTTTTTTATTGAACTTCTTAGTAGATTGTTGGAATACTAGTATCTTGGACAAAACAAGCTGATTAGTAAGGCCTGTGCCTTGCACTCCTCACATTTTCATTAATGAGAAAGAGGATTTGCTTATTAAATTTCAAATGACCTAAAATATAGTGGAATAACACCACAGAATATGGTAGTAAAATTCAGAATGATCCTAATAGGTTTGAAAAGGTATCATAGGAAAGCAGATCCTAAAATGCAGTTAATGTTATTTATATTATAGCTCTTAACCCGTAAGAAACAAGATAACCTTATAAACTGCCCTGATGTCAATAACTCATGTCCTTATCACTATCTAGGTCTGCCTTTGGAAAGTTTCTGGAAGTTGCAACTGTTAAAAAATGCAGCAGCTGGATAGTTGGTGGGACATCTCTACCAGTGTAGAATAGCACAAATTAAAGTTGGTGTATGAGTTGCCAGCAAGTTTCCAGGCCTAATCCGAAGTACTGATCATTACTTTTAAAGTCCTATGTGGCACAGCACTAGGATATATGAGGTAACACCTCACCAGAATTTAATCTGCTCCTCTGGTCATCTATAAAAGGCACATTGACCATCTCCCCTCCTCCTGAGGTTACGCTGAGTATAGAAACATGACAGGTCTTCTTGTAATGCTATGTGGGAATGACCTTGGGAGACAGAAGGAAGTGCCGCAGACTAGGCGATGGTCAGATAAGAGGTAGCTGAGCCCGCAGAAGGAATGGGGACATGGCAAACATCTCAGAAGGGATCCTCCTGAGTTTCTTGGACTGTAAAGGCAAGAGGGGAGAGATGTACTTTCAGACTTGCAAGATTCTGTTAATGTAACCTTATAATAAAGACAGAGCTAGTACTCCTGGGGGTGCTTCTTGTCTGGACACAAGGCTGACACTTCTCCATGATAGCCTCTACCTTGTGGAACTCTCTCCCACAATTTGTGCAACCCCCACATTGTTGACATTCTGTGGAGGGCATAGGGAATGGCCTTGAAGGACAGGAGGAAGAGTTGCTACCAAGGCGTGGTCAGATAAGTGGGGGTTGAGCCTGGGCTAAGAAAATAACTTGGGAAAACATACCAGAAAAGCCCCTACTTAGTTTACACAAAGACAGAGGGAGGGAGGGGGAAGCAAATTCAGACTTGCATGATTCTGTTACTATAAGTGTTACAATAAAAGTAGTCCTGACCTACATGGCATTGGTTTCTTATTCTGGTCTAACTTGTAGGGCTGACACACATTCCAAAAGCAAATTAAATCTGTTTTATTTCAGCATGCCTTTGGCCCCAGTTAAGTGACTGAGGGCATCTCTCTTTGGTTTTTGATTGGGATTGTTAGGTTGTTCCTTTTGTTTCTTGCCATTATATTCTGCCCAGAATCCATTAAGATTGGGGCAGGTTATTGCTATTGTTTATAAATACATAAATAAGCAAAACCATGGTTTAGATCTAATTTGTTCATATACACTAAGTTATAATTTAACAAGGCACCCAAATTCCGCCACTGTGTTTGACTGAATTTTAATTTGTTTATAAAATAAAACCATCAACGTTCAGCAAGGCTCAGCTTTGGAAAGACGGTTCACATAGCTATTTGCTCTTATTTTTCCTTTTCCCCAATGCTGCTTTTATATAATTTCAGGAAGGAGATGGGATAATTAAGTTTTGGCATTATGGCTCATTAAAATAAACCAGTTTTCAGTCATGGTTTATGAGGTTGCCTAGTTTACGATACATATATGCATATTAATTTCTCAATTATTTAATCTCCTTGTTTTCTGTCTATAGCTGATTAAGCATAGTATCAGTACTTTGTGTTCCCATATATATCCTGTAATATAATCAAGTGTATGTTCTTCTATCCATCTTAGCTTCGTGATGCTGATATGATGGTCGTGGGCAGTACCAAACCTAAAGAGATCTCGGTGGCTTGGAAAGAATCCAAGATCACTACTGTGGATTGTTCACAAGGCACTTTATTGGGTGAGGTTCTGAAGATGTACAGTACAGTAATAAATGCTAAAGCTTGATGTTTGTATCAATTTTTTAATGACAAAGAAGTATGCTCTTATATCCTGAAATTTAAGATAAAGGGCAGAAAAAGGAATATACCTGTAGTGGTACTGAAACAGAAAAATCCTATGGATAGTCCTAGTTTAGCATTATTTGCTTCAGCAAATTGATTCTTGCCTTTATTTTGCTACTGGCATCCCTGGATGATCATTCTTGCTGGCTGTTGATATAGCCGTTATTGTCTATGTTTGTCCTTTTTTCTCTTTTTCCCCCCCCAAACTTTGGGGAGCAGGGCATTAACTGGTGTGTTTAACTTTGAGTCTCAAGGTTAACAGATGGATTTTCCATTATTCAGTGTCACAATAGAGAGACAGCTTGGTGTAGTGGCTAAGGTGCTGGCCTAGAAACCAGAAGATTGTGAGTTCTAGGCCTCTCTTAGGCACGAAAGCCAGGCGGGTGACTTTGGGCCAGTCGCTCTCTCTCAGCCCAACCTACCTCACAGTGTTGTTGTGGGGAAAATGGGAGGCAGAAGTATGAGGTATGTTGGTTGCCTTGAGTTATATATAAGAAAGGTGGAATAAACTAATAATAAGAATGGGAATAATAATAGTAATAACATGTGTTGTCACATGTTGAACAACTGGATGATGGAGAAACTTAGAGCAAAGCACAGAGCACTTTTCCACAAAATGAATACAATGTCCAGGCATAGCTTGCATGTGTAAATGAATGAGATACTACAGATAGACTCTCCTCATGCCTTCAAATGCAATATTTTTCAATGGACTCTGTTCATACAAACAGCTACAAGAATGTTCCACTCTGTTCCTCCTGGCATCAAATCAGCTACTCCAGTTTCCAATCAGGAAGAATTCTGAAACTCAACTACATGTTATCTCTGCACTGATAAAAACAGTTATATAAAGCCAAATCAAATAGGCTGAAAAAACACAGAAGTTTAAGCAAGGGGGAGAAGAGAATCAAATGTGATCTCTCTTGTTTCATATTGTTCTGGCTGAGATCCTAGTGTGGTTTCATTGTGGCAGTCATCAATTTATGGCTGTAGTAATTTCCAGGAAAACACTCTTCATTTCTAATCTAAATTGACATTTTCCAGAAGACGAGCTTAAAGAACGAAGTGTGAACACAAATGAAAGCCATTTGAATTTTTTCCCCTTCTTGAGTGATTAATGTTCAAGCTATAATCTTCTTTATGGCTAGATTGTCTTTGTTATTAAAACTTAAAGAATTGTGATCCAGTGATACTTAAGTTGCACTGAATGTTATAGGGAACTAACATATTAAAAAGCAGATGAAGCTAGGGTCTTCTAGGGCTGTGCAGGGCTTTACATTAAAAGGTTCAGAAAAGATGCTTGGGGCATGAGGGAGTACACAAGTAAGCATTAAGGCAGCAGCATCTTTTTCTGGAATTGAGTGGTTGCCATCTGCAACTATAGCTCTGAAGAAAGATGCATTTGGTGTAAGGAGTTACAGTCATGTGGTACACGCATGCTCCAACCATCTTTCTGTTTTAAAGTCCAAAGTGCTGCATAGCCCTAGTAGCTTCTATAGCTAGAATCCTGTGTTAAGCAACACTACTACCCCTTTATGAATCCTTTCCTATCCATGCATTTTTCACTAGCAGGAACTACACCCTACTTTCTTATAAATATGAAGTTGTGTCGGCTGGTGTGGGTCTTCCGGGCTGTGTGGCCGTGGTCTTGA